CCCCCCCATCTTTACGTTTTCCCCGTTTGGGGGAGGGGTGGGAAGCTGCTGTACACAGTCTAATAAAGTGATGCTTTTATCCAATAAATTTATTCTTTGGATAAGATTTATCCGTCTGATAGCGCGATTCACTCTTCGTACAACCGGGCCCAGAGCTATCCCTGAGAAACAAATAATTTAAAAAACTGGAGTATTCAGCTTTCCATGAGAAAAATAAACGCTTCTCACAAGCCTCCTTTGTCTCCAAAACCACAGGAATACCGTAAAGTAAAAATAACTAATTAAGTCTATTTACCTTAGAACGAGGCTTAAGGAATCGTCTACTTATCATCCTACGTAGAGTTATTTTCCGTGTTACTATGACGTCACTTCCTGTCTCGCTATCTACCGCTGACTGTCTTGTCTGTCTTGCTGCTGTTTCTAACGACTTTATTTCTTCCTAACACATTTATAAATACTACTGTATAAATAAATTGTTACAAGATTCAATCAAAGCACAGGGATCCCAAGTTATGTCTCTGTGTCAGTATAACTACTTACTCTAAGCTATCGTTTAAAACCTAATGTCTGCACTAGGCACTCGATTTTGGCAAGGAAAGGAAACTATATTTGCATTTACTGACAAAAAAACAAGCTTGGGCTTCCTGTGGATTCGTCTCACGAATCGACTTCACAAAATGCTTAGTGTCTATACTTGAAACTTAAGGCTAATTTTTTCATATTGTGTTTATTAATACAGTATCTTGGTCTCACATAAGTATACTCGCGAAATTTTTCGTATACCTGAGAAAACAAACATTTATTTTCTCACTCAAACTCTTCAAAATTCTTTACAAACGTGCGGAAAGGCACGCATGCGCAAACGTTTTTCTCTAGTGTCCATGTGATCTCTATAAACCGTACTTACCTCAGTTTGTATTTCTGACTCAGTTTTATGATAATCTTCTTCTCTATTCGCTATTGATGCTCTCAGTTCTGCCAGTTCGTTCTTTAGGACCACTATTTGCTGTAGCGATTGCTCGTGACTCGGCACTGGTGACAAAACAAAATCCATGCTTTGAATATTCAACAAACGACCGTGGTCACATAGAGTGGATCTCGTATGTCTGTAAAATGCCACGGCATCCTTTAAACTTCACACTAAACGATAATTGCTCAGCCAATGAAATTATTGGAACACGCAGCGCCGACAAGGTCACCGCACGGCACGGTACGGCACACCCGTACTGTGATCTTTTTTTACAGTAAGATATACCGTAGCATTCAAATGGCTTCATAATGTATATTGACGTATGTACGTACGTACTGACATCCTTTGAACCCGTCACGGCGTGCAATATCATTATTTATYTAATGAAATGGCTTGGACAAGGTATGATACGGCACGCTACGGCACGATCGACACGGCACGGCGCAACGCGACGCGATACGACGCGACACAGCACGGCACGCCACGATACGGCATAATTCTCACAATACTTACAAGGTGGTTTCAGTTGTTCCAGGATCTTAGATTTCTTCCTTAGATCCATTAAAGCTTCCTTCTGCCGCGCGATGACCTGGTCATGACGTTCACCTCGACATTGAATGCCAAGCTTGTGGAGCTCACTTAAATTTTTATTCTAGAATAAAAAGATGAATTGAATATTAGAACAGGTTCGGTTTCGGAGGGAGGGACCTCTAGTATAGACAAACTCTACTCAAGTGTCTTGCAAAGTCCAGGAATCCAACCCGAGATCCCAGAGGAATCTTATGGTGTACGTGACGTCATAGCCGCCATGTTGGTTGACTTGAACAAAAGATTTGGTCTTGGTTTATTTTTGTTATGTCAACCAACATGGCGGCCACTTCATTTGCTCTTTTTATTTCCATGTAGGAAAGAGATACTCGCCACCCTGAAAGGAGGAGAGGGTTATTGATGATTAAGCCTATTACTAACCTCCTCCTCGATAATTTCTATCTCGGCTTCTTTATCCTCCAGCGCTTCCACCAGCTTATCGGTGTACTCCATCAACTGCGTCCCCTTCTTGGCTGCGTCTTTTTTTTGCTTGATGAAAGTTATCTGGTGTTCGCTTAGTTTCTCCTCTCTATCCTCTATCTCTTTCTGTTGCTCGTCTACGAGCCGAGATAGTTGGATCAACTGCTTCTTTTGTCCTTCTAATTCTTTGTCTTGTTGGCGGATTCGCTCTTCGTTTTCTTCAAGTTTTTGTTTCTGTTTGTCGCTGAGTTCGCCGGCCATGTCTGACATTCGTGCCGAGGCTCCGGCGAGATCTCTACGGAGGGCCTGGACAACGTCGGCTTGCGCTTGAGCCTCTTTCTTGGCTTGGCTTGCTTCGCGTCTGAAATGACCAGCAAAAATAATAAGAAGGAAAGAAAGAAACAAAAGAAACGAAAGGTAGGAAGGGATAACGTAGCAAGAAAGCAAGAAAGCAGGGGAGAAAGAATGGAAGGAAGCAAGGGAGCAAGCAAGCAAGCAAGCAAGCAAGCAAGCAAGCAAGCTTAACGAACAAAGGAACCAACGAAAGAAAGAAGGAAAGGAAGGAATGAGCAAATTTGTTATACCTCAGAAGTAGAACCAGCTGTTCTAGTTTATAGACATCAGACTTGAGTGAAGCTTCTACATTCGTCTGTGGTATCGTCTCAGTCTCCACCGACCGGGTTTGTTTGGGTTCTTTCCTGGGAGACTGGGGTCTAGAGTTGTTTTCTTTTCTTGGAGATGGTGATTTGGATTCTTTACGAGGTGAAGAAGGTCTATGTTTTCCTGGTATGATAATAACACAAGGAATATTTAAATAAGAATCAATACTGAAATTATTGTCAGAAGGGTGATAGGCACTTTAAAGACTTACCTCCAGGTTGTTTGTGACAGGCAAGTTCCAGCTCTAATTGTTTGTTTTGCTTGGTTAGCTGTAGGAGTCGGTCCTCCATTGCTACAATTGTCCGTGCATGCTGGCGAGTTTGCACCTAAGAAGAAAAAAAAATGAACCATTTCAACTGCTGTTCTAAGCAATGAAAAAGTGATTGACCAAGTGATGTGTTGAGATTTAGAAAGACAAACCTTAAAGGAAGCCACTTCTTCGTGTTTGTAGTTTCTAAGTTCTTCTCTCTCGTTAATGACTTTGTTCAACTGTGTCTCGTGGTTAAGAGATATTTCTTGAAGCTGAACGAGAAGCTTGTTCTTTGGGAAGAAAGCAAGCAGAAAAATGGAAATTATGAAATTACGGATTTTTTCTCTCTCCTCTCCTCTCCTCTCCTCTCCTCTCCTCTCCTCTCCTCTCCTCTCCTTTAATACTATTTCACTTTTTCTGACGATAATAATAAGGGGTGAGTGGCTCTTCATCCACTGAAATTAATAATAACGCTATAATAACACTAGTTCCTATTCCCTTACCTCATTCTCTTTTGTTTCTATCAGTTCTTTCTTGGCTTGTTCGTACTGTGACTTTGCCTCTCCTAATGCTGTCTTATAGCGATGCAGCTCATGTTCTTTGTCACTCAAAGCCTGTCAAACACAATACAAGAAATGCTTCAAAACATGCAAGCTTTGTCACGGTTCTACTCCTAGTACGTTACGCCCTTGACTGCAGTTAAGTCTTCAGTCAATTGCTCGCGTTACAAGCGTGACTCAAATACCTGTTGCATTTGCGTGACACTTCCGTGTTGTGATTCAAGGATCCTTCTCTCAGTTTCCACTGCTTCTCGTATTCTTTCCTGTTCTTTTCCTCTCATTTCTTGCATCATTTCATGTCGTTTTTCTTGTTCTTCTGCCTTAACCTCGGCAATAGTTCGTGCTATCTTACGTTCTTCGTCCTGCTTAGCGTCTTCTCGGAGCTTGAAGATAACATCTTGGTGTGTTTCTTCCATTTCAGAAATTCTATAACGAAAAAAATTCAGAAAATACAGAAAATGAAATTTCATTCCTTCGTCTTGCATTCCTTTATTTTCCCATTCCTTGTGTTTCATTTCCTATCCAGCTTTTTCTCATTTCCTTTACTTCGACTCTAGCTTTGTTTTTCTTATTTTTCACATTTAGCTATTTTTATTAATTTCTGCTAATTCTGCATGTATGCAGACACCAAGCAAGAGATTGACATTAAGACCATCTTGCTGAAGGCTTTAGACATTTTTAGCAATGAAGAGGCTAAAATAGCTACTCTGTAGAAATGCCACTGCTAAATCCCATTTATTTTTTATTCATTTCATTCATTTATTTATAAAATAACCGTCCTTTTTCACGAGAGTAGCACTAAATAGCCAGTGGCTTACAAACCTGTGGCCCTCATTCCGTAATCGAATTGGAATTTAAGAGTTGATTTTTGCGGAGGGAGGAAAACCGGAGAAGCACAGCGGGACTCGAACTCGGGTCGCATTGATGTGAGGCGAGAGGCTCGATAAAGCGAAAAATATATTTGCTCACTGACTAACATGACAGTTGAGTGTCTAAAGAAAAAATATCATTTTATTGCGTTTCCGAAATTTTTATTTTCGAAGGTATTTGAGAACATAAATCCAGGATTTATCTTCCAGAGATAATGAATACAGGTTAACCCACCCCTCCCCTCTAAATTAGTCCCCATAATAAGATGACAATTGTTTTGATGTTGTCCCCTATATCACCTCTTGTACTTACTTTGCCTGTAGCTGTCTATACTTCTCTCTTTGTGTCTTCAGCTCTCTGCAAAGGTCATCGATTGTGGGTGCATTGTCTAAAAAAAGACAAATATAATAACTATAGATTAATATTATTTATTATTATTTATTATTATTACTCTTTTTTAGGTAAGAGAGCCTAGGAACGAGTAATAATGAAAACATTATTATCTGCTTTTGTGTGACTGTTGTTGTCGTTGTGTTGTTGTTGTTTTAGGGGTGATGGTGGTAATGTAAACGCTATAATTTTACAGCTGTTTTCTTTGTTGTTGTTGTTGTTGTTGTTGTTGTTGTTGGAGGCGGCGGCGGTGATGCATTCTCGTACCAAAGCCTGCGCTATTGCCGGCTGCTCTGAGAATGAAAATGGTGGTCATGGTGGTGGTGCTGGTAGCCATTGTTATCCTTGCAACTTTTTTCGTCTTTGTTGTTGACGCTGTCGTTGTTTTGCATCATTCTTACCTTCGCCGCTGTCATCAAAGGCAACCCCAGCTCTTYTCATCGTTTCCTCTGCTCTTTTCTGCCAGGACATTTCATTGTTAAGAAGTCGAGTCATAACATCCTGACCATAAGAAATGACATCAATGTTAACTACTGTGATATTGGTTACCCTGTGTTAAAACGCTATCATCTTAAACTGACGTCCAAAATACTAATTTGGTCACCCTGTGGATACGAGGAGGAGAACGCACAGGGATCCCAGTTGGTCTACTAACCTTTATCCATAATAAGGAATCATGAGTGTGTAGTTCTTCTAGCTTTGTTACTTCTTCTTCAATGGTTTTGCAACTACGGCCATACTTTGATAGATGTCGCTGCGAAAAATAAAGAAATAGTTACAAGATCTGAAAAATACTAAAATCTATAACACAATAATTGCCACAAGTTCTCTACTCTATGAAGTAAGAAGACGTTTGTATGTTTGCTTACCTCCATGTTTTCCATATCTTTACGTAACGTACTCATTGCTTCTTTCAAGTCCGCTTTTTGGGTCTGTGCCTGAAAGCAATCGTGAAAGTGTTACAGTTTTTTTATGAAGTGTCCAGTAAAGCATGGATTGATGGATGGACAGACGGACTGACGGACGGATGGATAAGTTTATCCCTGTTAAGCCCCGTTTACACTGGCGATTTTTGCGGCGATTTTTGCTGCGATTTTTGTGGCAATTTTCAGAAATATGAAATCTTTTGTCTCATCCTTCAAAAGAGACATTCGTCTAGAAAAATCTTGGTATCCTGAAAAAAGCTTTACAAGTAAATTCTTTACCATTATTTATTATGGACAAAATCGCAAAAACATCGCAGCAAAAATCGTCGCAAAAATCGCTAGTGTAAACGGGGCTTTATACAAGTGCTTACCTTGTCTTCTGCCTCAGCATATTCATTGATTTCCTCCACTAGTTTCGCGTTCTCTTGGGACAAATCTTTGATATGATCAAGCAGTTCATCATCGTCTAGTTCACGGTTGGCGGGCGTTTTCTTGCCTCCAATAAATATATTCTGAATTGCTTTTCTTCTAAATCGATCAAACTAGAAAGAAGAAAAAGAAAATTATTTTTACAAAGAAAAATCATTTGGGGAGAGGGGGGCAAGTCATATAACAATCATTCCGGCCCAGGTTGGGTAATTCTTAATTGGTATGACAGGGGAGAGGCAAAAATGTTAATATTTATTAACACGCTTTCCGACTAGTGTCGTACTTCCGAGTACACATCTTAACAAAAAACGCAAAAAATAAAGCGAAAAATTGTTCGCAATGATTAGGCCTCCACCTCAAATAATTCGAAATTTGGAAAGCAAAACCAGTCACGACGAAAATTTTAAAAAAATATCTTTATAAATCTGCTTTTTCGTTTTGTTACTGCAATAACAATGAAGCTAAAGAAGAAAAAAAGAAATTCAAATCTAAATCTGTGTTCCATAAAAATTTTCTTCTTAGGAAGGAGTGCTAGGAGAAATAGGGGAGGGGGGGGGGGGTAAGGATGTGATGCTCAAGTCTAGAAATGAATGCCCTGTGTTACTGCAGAGTGTGAAATTTGTGTGAAAGGTCGTGACAAATGGAAAAAATATATCGTGGGTAAGCAAACTGAACAGATACCTACCCTCTTTTCTAACTGCTGCATGTCGACCTTCAAGAGTTTCTCAGCTCTGTTAGCATCCAGGAACTGTGCCTTGGCATGATCGAGTTCTTGCAGCAGGGAACGATCGCTCTATATAACACAACAGCAAAAGACAATCATTAATGAATAGCAATTAACAGACCTTTCTAGCTTGGACAGCGTGTCATTCTCTAAAGTATCATTCCTTTCTCTAACGGTTGCGCATGCCAGACACATGAATATGGATACAACTCAAACGAAAAATCACATTCTCAAGAGAATGACACGTGGTCTGAAATGTGCAAAACATTACGCCCAAGTGGATTTGGTCCATAGATCTCTTTAGCTTGGACCACGTGTCATTCGCTAAAGTATTATTTCTTTGTTTAACGGTTACGCATGTGAAGACACATGAATATGGATACAACTCAAACAAAGAATATTATGTTCAAGGGAATGGCACGTGGTCTGAAATGGGAAAACGTTAGGCCAAAGGCAAAGAGATCAATAAAAGAGGGGTTTCACGGCAACCTGTTCAGGGCAAAAAGAGAAGTTGTGCGCAGCAGATTCTATCGTGTGAACACCATTGCAACGTTACGCGCAACACGCAAACACTACTGCGCAATGCTCAGTTCAGCCAATGATAAACGATGCTTTAAGAAATGCATAAAGCGTGACTTCCGTTTTTCCACCATTCTAGTCTAATAATAAGATTCATCCGCCTAATAAGTTCAAACCTATTATGATGATTTTTTCCCCATCTATTTACCTGTGCGAGGTATGGTCGTGGACCTAACTGCCTATGCTATTCTAGTCTAATAATAAGATTCATCCGCCTAATAAGTTCAAACCCATTATGACTATATTTTTATCTATTCACCTGTACGAGGTATGGTCGTGGACCTAACTGTCTATGCTTTTCCAGATTTGTTTCTATTTCCGCTAATACTTTCTCCAGTGTTCCGTCAGCCGAGTGCAAGTCGCTTTTCTTGGGGTTAGCTGCGTCCATTCTGTCACCATAGTCTACAGTACCACTACACCCTAAATTCTGCGTGCCTACTTCACTGTCCCCTATCATATCATGATCCCATCCATCAATGATATCATAGGTCGTGTCTAAGCTATTTTCTTTCTGTCTGTCCATCTCCTCAGTGAGCAAGTCAGTCCCACATGGTGGGTCTAGCACGGCTGATGATAGTGAATCAAGAGTTTGAAGACGAGAATCTAACTTCGTTGCTTTTGTTTGTTCTATCATCTCCTCAGTGAGCAAGTCAGTCCCACATGGTGGGTCTAGCACGGCTGATGATAGTGAATCAAGAGTTTGAAGACGAGAGTTTAACTTCGTTGCTTTTGTTTGTTCCATGCTGGTCTTTCCTATCTCCCTTATGTTGTCTACGGTCGTAATACTGTCTTCCTGGTAAAACGTTTTGGGGTAAGAACATTACCAATGTTAGATCAAGAAAGTCAACTACTACTTAAAAATATACTATGGCAAACTTTACATACATGTTTTGATAGTGCACTCGACTCTCCACTGACGTACCTGTCTGTTTTCATTCGCGTTTTTCTTAGTACTCTGTCCAGCTCGTCCTGTAATTAAGACCCCCACCCCTCCCCCTCTTCTACTGCTATGAGCAAATTACTTCCCCACGGTGGTGGTGTTGGAGTTTTGTGAGGCTGCTACATACCTGTCTGTTTTCATTCGCGTTTTTCTTAGTACTCTGTCCAGCTCGTCCTGTAGTTAAGACCCCCACCCCTCCCCCTCTTCTACTGCTATGAGCAAATTACTTCCCAACGGTGGTGGTGTTGGAGTTTTGTGAGGCTACCACATACCTGTCTGTTTTCATTAGCAGTTTTCTTTACTCTGTCCAGCTCGTCCTGTAGTTCAGACACCTGCCTGTTACGTTCTTTGAGTTGCTTCTCAGTGCTCTGGAGTTTCTATGGAAACGACAAAAGAAATAACGAATTAGAAAGAATACTAAGGAGTTTTGCATATTTCGTTCACTAAATTTCATATCCAATCGAGACAAAGACTGAGTTACAAAGAACTCGATAGCTTACAGTCAAACTTGCCTTAAGCCTAACAAAAGCATCAAGCGAGGCTAAATTAAACAAGTTTTCCGTATTTCAAAACATAGTAGCCTATTAAGAAACAGTGCCTCTTACCAATACTTCCATTGATTCCTAAACACGTCATTAAAACAATAATTTAGAATAGGTCTTTCTCTCTTGCTTGAAGTAAGAACTCAAATCTTAATTATATCGTTAGCTAACTAGAGCTTGAGTACCACGAATTAGTTTAGCATGGCTTGGTTGAGATTTTCAGTACATTGTTAAATAACTAAGTTTACTTTTAAAATTCCACAATGGATGACGATTTTTACAAACAAAAGTAACCAAATTACACTGACACACACACATATACAATCAGTTATGTAGGACGTTATTAAAAAGCGCTTAGTTTAGCGTAGATTCCATGCAGTGTCTTAGGTGTGTGAGAGTTGATGCGTGGCGTTTTGGCTGGCGAAGTCAAGGTTATGTTTGGGATAGAAGTTCGTAACTGAGGTGATAGAAGTATCCTGGTTTGTTTATACAAGTAATGATGATCAGTGACGGTAACAATAGGTTTCAAGTGAGAGTTAATTGTTTTTATGTCAACTAAATACAGAGTAAACAGATAAGATAAGACAGTGAAATAAAGTGAAGACTCACTAAAATGAATAACTAAATAGACTGTTAGGCCCCGTCCACACGTATCCGGAAATTTTTGTATCCGCAAATTATTTTTTGCGGATACGAAAATGTTTGCGTCCACACGCAGCGTATTCGAATCGTTTTCACCGTCCACACGTATCCGTTTTCGTAAAATTTCCGGATACGGATACAAAAATTTGCGGGCACGTGTGGACGCAACCCGTATCCGCAAAAAAAATTTTGACGGGCCACAAAACTGAAAAACGCAAATTCAGTCAAATTGAGAAGACAGTTTTATATTTAAAGAGGAGAATAATCGATTTTGTGAATTCTTATTGAAAAAAAAATTCATAGCAATGCATGATAATATACTCGTGTTCTGGTATCGTGGCCCGTCAAGTTCCTTAAATTTGGATGCGCACGCAACCTTGAGAAAACGGTCTATACTCAGCGTTAGCCTAACTTTGGCATTGGAATATTCACTAAAACCAAAAAGTAAAGTAAAAAAATGCACGACTTCGACCATACAAATGCTTTGAAATTCCAAGGACCTTCACTGGAACACGTGTGAATATATTCTACGCAAAATCGAGGTTTATCCTGAGCAACTGAAAACTCGAAACTAAGCTATTTAGCCTTTTGGGACATCTCGGGAACCCTGTGGCATTGCCCCGCTCCCTTTTCCTTTCTTTCCTCGAACCATTACCCCACACGAGAATCTCACCATAGGGTTCCCAATCACAACTATTAAACCCCAAATAGAGTAAAACGATAGGCCATTGCATTTCTACTACTACCACCAAGATACTTCGCAAATTTTCTTTCTTAGGCCCTGTCTAAACGAGGAAACATGTTTCCCTAAATGTTTCCTAAGGTGGCAAAACTGTCAGGAAACATCGGGAAACAATGTTTCCATGCGTCTTGAAAACATGTAATGTTTCTGCCGCACAGCAAAAACATTTTTTGCGTCTTGGAAGCAAAATTTGTTGCACGCAACAATGTTTCGCATGTGCGCGCTAAACTGGGAAACATCGAGGAAACATGCGCGCGGTAAACATATGTTTCTGGAAACATGTTTCCTCGTTTAGCCAGGCCCTTATTCCAATTTGTATTTCCTCATGAATAGTAAGTCTAATTACATGTAACGGACAAAAAAGTGTGCAAAGAATACTGTTAGTTGTAGTTAATGACGCCCTATTGCGATGGTTTAATACAGAAATCATTTAAACAAAGGCTATGCATTGGTGTAAAATGTTTCATTTTCTCACCTCTTTGTGTGAGGTGAACTCGCGCTCTCTCTTGTCAGCTTCCATCTCAGCCTCCTTGCTTGCCTTTTGACGAGTGAGCTGAAAAGGATCAAAGTAAACTGATTATTGAATTGATTGGACTATAGAGGTTTTGCACTATCACGTGCCGGTGCCCATAATACAGCTTGGACTGCCTGTGGTTAGATAGCAGAACAATAAAATCCCTTTGCTCTCGGGAATTGAATTCTTCCTCATGTAAAACGACTGTATTGTTCCTGCCATCTAACATGGCTGCCGTCACGTGGTAGTGCAAAACTTCTATAGAAAAACTTGGAACAAAGAATACCTTTTTATCTATCCATTCAACCGTCTAACTATCCAACCCACTTCTCTCTACTTCCTCCCTCCCTTTTTTAAAGCCAGGCATTTATTCACAATTCATTAACTATTTTGAATTTCATTGGGTTATTCATTTAATTCCACTCATTTATTCATATTCAACTATTCATCTGTCTCCGTCCCTCCACCCATCCATCCATCCCTTTCCTTCCTTCCTTCCTTCCTTCCTTCCTTCCTTCCTTCCTTCCT